AGAGTAGAGAGAGAGAGAGAGAGAGAGAGAGAGAGAGAGTTTTAGGGCGTGGGAGATAGAGGGTTTGATTTATTGTGGTTTATTTTTATTTGTTTATTTTTTTCCCTAAAGTCTATTTAAAGGGAGATGTCCCTTCATTGTAAAAGATCAATGAATGAGAATTGATAAAAGGTGATCTTGTGAAAAGATTTGAATCGAGAAAAGTTGATCTTGTAAAAAGATCTGAATTGAGTAAAGTTGATATTGTAAAAAAATCGTCTTTTAGATTGACTCCCTTGCAGACCTTGAGAGAAGGTAGAATATCTTAAACTTTTATTTTATCTTTATTTTTTGGGTTGGTTATTATTTTCTCCCTACATCATGTACCTGATATCTAAATAAACTTCATCTTAGGAGGTAATTAGACGACGAAGGTTACCACTCATTGTTTAGTAAGGGACATTACAAGCTAGCAAAGAGATATCTTGTTGTAACAAAAGGCAAGAAGTATTGCTTACTCTTTAGAACATAGGTGCGAGTCTCCAATAGTGAAGTTAATGCCGCCATGGAATAACTCTCACTAGACCTGTGGCACATGCGACTTGGTCATTTGAGTGAAAAAGGGATGCAAATCTCAGCGAAGAAAGCAGATCCTTCCCAGTGTCAAGAATACATCTTTGACCCCATATGACCATGGTTTGCTAGACAAACAACATAGAGATTCATTCTCCAATAAGAGCTCTAAAGATACAAAAATGCTAGAGTTGGAAAATTAAGATTTGTGTGGTCCCATAGATGTGAAGTCGCTTGGTGATGCATCATTCGTCGTCACCTTCACTGATGATGCTTTAAGAAATGTATAGGTATACTTAATGAAATCAAAAGATTAGGTATTTCAAATCTTTCAAAATGTTCATACTAAGGTAAAAAGGGAGATAGGCAAGCTATTGAAGTGTCTCAGATCAAACAATTCGGGGGAGTACACCTTAAATTCTTTAAAAATCCATATACTCTCCAGCATCATGGTGTAACAGAGAAAATGAGTCGCAACATTATAATAAAGACTTATGTGCATGTTATCTGCAGACAAGTTGCCAAAGTCATATTGGGGTGAAGCAATATTCAGTGAAACAATCCTCACAGTAAGCTATCTAATAAATAGATCCTCATTATTTCCTCTGAATGGTGAAATATCAACGAGTTTGGATTGGAAAATGTATATATTATTCATATTTGAGGGTGTTTGGGTGCAAAGCATTGGTGTACGTGCCCAAGGAAAAAAATAATAGAGTTAGATGAGAAAGCACTCCTACGCTTATTCTTAGGGTACTTAAATGAAGAGTTCAACTATAGGCTATGGGATCATGAAAACATGAAGGTGAATGGTATTGGCATCGATTTTGATGAAATCATTTTCTGAGGTAAAATGTCATCATTCCATATGGTATTATGCCTAATTGCAAGCTTGAATCTAGAGATTAATTAGTTAGATGTCAAGACTGCCTTTCTTCATGGTGATTTGGAGGAAGAAATATATATGGAGCAATCATAAGGATTTAAGGTAAAAAAGGAGCACATGCTTCGTAAACTAAAAATAGTTTATACGGGTTGAAACTGACCCCCAAGGAAGTGGTACAAGAAGTTGATTCCTTCATGGGAATAATGAGTACAAGAGAATAGCCTCAAAGCATTGTGGGTACAAAAAGCTCTAAGTGCCAAGCAAGGTCCTTCAAATGCAAATGAGAAGGAAGAAACATAGAAAGCGCCTTGCGCATTAGCCGTAGGAAGTTTGATGTATGTCATAATGTGCATGAGTCCAAATATTGCACATGCAGTTGGCGTCGTGAACATATTTATCATTAATCTTGATAAGGAACACTAGGCAATAGTCATGTGGATATTCAAATATCTCAAAGGAACATCTACAATATATTTGAACTTTTGGGGAGGTAAACCGGTGCTACAAGGGTATACAGATGCAGGCATGGTGGGAGATATAAACTCCAGGAAGTCAATCTTAGGGTAACCGTTTACTTTTGTAGGAGGAGTTGTTTCATGGTAGTCCAAGCTACAGAAGTGTATGACTCTATCAAACAAAGAGGCAAGGTACATAGAAGTCACAAAAGCCTGTGAGGAGAGATTCTTCCATGAGTTGAGCTTGAAACAGAACATGTACACGATCCACTGTGATAGTCAAAACACTATCCACTTGAGCAAGAATGCAAGCTTCCATTCTAAGACAAAGCACATTGATGTGTGTTACCATTGGATTGGATGTCTTACAGAAGAAGTTACTGCAGCTAAAAATACCTCAGATATGATGACAAAGACCTTGACCAGAGGCAAGCATGAACTTTACAAAAACATCGTTGGCATGGGTACCATCTAAGTAACAAGTTCATTTGAAAAATAAAACCTTCACCATAAGACAGGAGGCGAAGATTGTTGGAGAGGCCATCACATGTGGGAGGACCTCTACATCCTTTGCTCATTAAAGGGGCAATTTGGGAATACAACCCACTGAGTTGTTATAATGGATAATCACTACTGAGAAGGGGAAGAGATTTTAGGAAACAAATCTCATTTCTAGATAAAAACCCAAAACATGACGGGGCCAGGCTTATCCAATGTTAACAAGTTCCTCCTCTTGATATGTGCATCTCCTTTTGCAGAGAGACATATAGTTATACTTCTTGTGCAGAAAAGAAAGAGAGAGAGAGAGAGATCCTATGGGTTTATTGTAGAGCCTCTTCGAGAGAGATAAATCTAAACGGAGAAAAAAGTCTATGAGAGGGAGACGAACCTCAAACAAGAAAAACCTAGAGAGAGAAAATCCTCTAAAGAAGTTAGAGAGTGTGCCTCATGGAAGAAATTATAATCGTTTTTATTTTATGTCTTTCTCCCATGGAGGTAACCTAAAAAAGTGAACTACGTAAATCTCTCTCTCAGTAATTTATTTATGTGTTTTATTGCATATTTTTCCATTCACACACACACAATATTGGATGTTTTTGTCCCATAAAATCTAGGTTCTGGTTTGCGGATCCACATTTTTGCAAAAAGGCTCGTACCAGTGAGCCCAACAGCCAGGACATCCAAACGGGGCCTCAATGCATGTGTTTATAGTTAAAATGAGAAAAAAATTATTATGCCAATTAAGAACTTACAACAAGCATGGTTAGGAGGGATCCAATTAATGCCATTACAAGACCTGCATCAAGGAATGGAACCAATATTAAAGTTATTGAACATAATGCTATATTTGTATTCACACACATATACAAATGCAAACACACAATTTTCAACTCTTTATTTTTGTTATTTTTTTAAAAAAGGAGCAGCAGCACCACCCTTCAGCTTGTTACATCAGTTAGCAGGAGCTGTCCATTTCTTCATGCCGTTGGTTTTATTTTAATGACAAAGAGGTAGAAGCTATGGTAAGGGAGTGACTTGGTGCTTCTAGATCCCGAGCAACGGAGACAAGTAATTGTTTTGATACCAGAGTTGTTAAATAGGAAAAAAATCTTTCTGAAAAGTGAAGGATTGACTAAGTTGGCACTCATTAAAACTTATCAGGTTCAAAAACTCTAGGCTCAGATTTGATTTTGAATTAGCACAATCTTTTCTCACTGAAAGTCTACCTATCAGTATCGAAACACAAAATCTTCACTGTACGCACATAAATTCAGGTTGGATATATAACCAAACTAATATGCATGAGAACCGCCTTGTCATTTTGAAGTTACTTAAGGCAAGGAACTCAATATGAGCAGCATACTTAGAGGCATAGCATGAGACTCATGCTATACCTGCATGGTAGGACGACATTTTAGTGATCATTGATACCCTCTTTGTTTTGCATGTTGGGCAAGGGTTTATAAGGATTATGAAAAGCACAAGATTTTTATGCTTCTCCTACAAAATAAAACTTATATACTTACCCTTATCCAACCGTCCATTCTGAATGGAGGGCTAAGATTGTCCCAATCACAATGTCACTTCTACACTATTTTTTTTTAATTTTTTTTCTATAAACTATTTTGACACCAAATTTTGGACGCCTAATCATCTATTAAACTCACATAGAAAAAAATATAAAAACAAATATTTCCAATAAAATAAAATGATCAAAATACCCCTGAAAGTTTCAAGGGGTATGTTGGTCATTGTATTTTATCGAAAAATTATTTTTAATATTTTTTATAGGTGCGACCCAATGAAAAAATGGCACGTATCAAATTTCATTTTCATACAATTTGTATAAAAAAAACTAAAAGTAAAATATTTTGAGATGTCGGATCTAAGATCAAACGATGAGTGGCTCTCTTGATCAAAATTTGGCGGCTGGATGGTAGGGGAACCATAGTATTCTGCCGGGGAAGTATAGAAACCTTTCCCTTATGAAAATCCCAACTACAGAAAAGTACGGTGGTTCTTAAAGACAAGACCATATCCCGAGCCATCATTGCTTACAAAAGCAGCATGTAGGAAAAGAAACAAATACTCCAACTATGTGTACACTGGCTCTTGACATATTTTATAACTTTAATATTGAAATTCGAGTTGGAGAGGAGAGGATTTACCAAAGAATGGAACCGAGAGAGCCACGAGCAAAGTGGAGACGACCAATGCTGTTCTAATGAGGATCGCAATGAAGTATGACTTGAGATGCATAGAAGGTATCAACTCCTCCAAACTTAGGGCCACTGGAGATAGTGTCAATGCATATGTGTATTTGAATCAAGGGGAGATCCCACTAAATCGAACATAAACAAATAAATATATAGCAGCTACAAATCTGTGACTAGAAAAATACTTCCATAAAATTTTCGAAAGGCTTTTCTGACACACGCAAGCGCGCGCACAAACACAAAAACACAAAACATGTTTCACTGTGAAACGGTACGAAACATTCCAATATCAGTATATGAAAAATGAGAAGGATATTTTGTAAATGGATTCACCACCTGCAAAACAGAAAAATAGTGTGTGAAACCATTCAATAAGAGTTGCTAAACTGAACATAAGCTTCTAAAATATCGTATCAACAAAACATGCTTTTTGTTTTGGTTTCATACTGTTGTCCACACTGCTATTTTGGAGGCTGTGAGCTGGTGGGGCATGTTGAGGGTGAACTGTGACACGATGGATTCTCCAAACATGGAGTATCCCATAAAAGCCACTCCAGCATACATGGCAGTACAAATTGCAAAACTGCAAGTTTCACGAATGAGAGAAACTGTCAGACCCCAAAGGAGAAAGAAAACTACAAAACCAGCAAGGTAATAATACAATCACCAAAGCAATGAGATATGGATAAAAAGTATCAATGTAAGGCATTTAGGAATTATATTGAATATGGGTATTTCAAAAATATAGTTTAACAATTTCATTGTGACCATAATTTATTATAAAAAGGTTAATGATTTTTGTTGAGAGTTGATTGTTGGTGATTGAGAGAGAGACGAGGCCACAAATAGGGTCATATCCTGTTCCTTGGCCCATCACTTCATTATGTCAATGGAGAGTGATGATGCGACGAACTTAATATGGGAATCAGGCTTGGGCTTGATTAGTTAGCAGTTGAAGTTCGCAATGCTACATCTCAAGTTAGATTCCAACTGCTGAACTATCCTAAAAAAAAAAAAACAAAAGATGCCACGAACTTAATAGACCTTCCCTAGAAACTGGTGTATACAATGTTCCAGTTTCTGGTTGAGAAGAGGAGGTTTTCTTGGAGGAGATTCAAACTACAATCTAAACATGCACCTGTCAGTGTCATAATGGGATTGAGGTAAAGAGATCTTGGTACCTTGTAATTAAAACCACAGGAAATTGAGAAGGTTTCTTCATGGACGTGTAGATGTTTGGAAAGACTGCATGCCCAGAATAGCAGTACCCATAAAGACCAATAGCAACAGGGAGACTACTGAGGTTTAAAGCATGGGGTTTGTATTGTAACCCAACTTGATCCACTACTCCAACCCAGAACAAGCATAGAACAACCAGCATAGATGAGATAACACCACCAGCTGAAACAATGGTAAAAATAATCAATATAACCAGATTATAGATGCAATGGTCAAGTCAAGAATTCATCATAAAATCAATTCACATGACTAAATTGGATCAGTTTATACCTGATATATAGCTAAGAATGCTCAAGTCACGAAGCCAAACAGTAGGAAGCACAGCCAGGGTAGCCACCACAGCAAAAAGCTGATGTGAGTTGAGCTGAAGCCCAGCTAAATTTAGGTGGGCACCAGGAAATAATGATGATAAATTATCGCCCTCAAGAATTATAAATTCCACACAACAAGCCTGTCAAGAAGTGGGGTGTAAGAATGAGTTATCTCATATATAGTCCAAAGATACATGCTGAAGGTTTGAACAGGTGAAATTATAAACATTACATTAGACATGACTTATGAAGAAATGAAGAGCTCAATTGGATGAGCTTCACTATATAAGGATCAATTAACATGATTTTTAGTAATGAAGCTCATTATCTAAAGACATGGTGAGAAAAAAAAATGCATTTGAGTTTCATGTTTTTCTGTCCTTTTTCCTGGCACTAATTTATTTTCCATCTTCTTTCCTCCCAAATCTTTTTTATTTTTCCAAGTTTCTAGGAGAAGTGCCAGGCTTAGTTTGATTTCCTTCTAGCAGTCCACATGCACAAGTAGCAAAAATAACTCAATCAGATGCAATGTGTGACATCTGACAGTCCAGGCACACTGCTATGAGGCAAAATATAGGAAATCCTTATCTTATCTGCATTATATAAAAACTAGGCAATAACAATCCTCCAGAAAAGGGATATTCTCTCAATTTTTTTTTTTTTTTTGTTCTTCTTCTTCGGGTGAGTCAGTGGGGAGAGGGCCCCTACATTGGTAGGAATTGAGCCTAACGTAGCGTTGCAAATCATCAAGCAGTAACCAATTACGCTTGGGCTCTTTCCCTGATGCAGGTCGATGCTTGTTCAAAACTAAAGGATTTTTCAGAAACATTACCCGCCATTTTATCAGATAAACAGCGAACACCAGTTTTTCTTCAAACTAAGTACCTTTCACAATATTTCAACATTATATGGAAAACTTAGAAAGATCCAACTGAATATTTCTGAGAATTTGTGGCTTTGGATCAAGCCAAAAAAATTTGGTTTTTGTGTTACATGATTAGATAAGGGACACTAATTCTGATTATGTTGACTTAAATTTGGTGTTCCTCTCAATGTCAGGGATGGTATTGTAATTTTTACCTAAGCACCAGCGAAGGAGAACTAGAGCTAGCTGTACTTACATATAATTCCACATATAAAATTATCTGCAAATAGCCACAAGAAACAAAAGTGTAAGTCATAGTTGACATAAAATAGCAGAACAGTAGCTTACAAAATAGTTTATTGGTTGGGACTGATGAATAAATAAAGATGAATAATTTACTAGTTGATAGAGAAATCTATGACATAGTCCATTACAATAATTCATCAGTTTAAAATATTTGGAATATTGATCTTTTAACAATCCAACTTACAGAGATAGCAAAGCGACCTATTGTACCAAATGCAGCCTGCCCAATGTCCGGGTAAGTCTGAAGACCAGGTTCACTGTCTAAACAATCGCGTAAGAGGATACCTGTGTATAATGCAATTAGAGCAAATGCAATCAACACAAATATCCCCATCCAACCTCCTTCTTTGATGGCAAATGGTGTGGAAAGTATTCCCACTCCACACATAACATTCATCCCTAACCAAATAGAAACAAAGTTATTTTAGTACATATAACAGACATATAGCCAACTCAGTCATTAGCCCAATTCCATGAAGTTCATCTCGTTAAATCTTCTGAGATATAATAATTATCATGATGACTGTTTTCATTGCATCAAATTCATCAGATTAACCCTAAATCTTATTAAAAGAGTGTCAGTAAACAAAACATTTGGGCAATAAAATCTCATTTCCCCAATTGAGAAATTGCAAACAATAATTTGAAAACAAATCAAGAAAAGAGCTTCATGATATCCCCATTGCATGAGTGGTCATTGGAAGGATGTGAGATTTACTGACCATTAAGCACCGCCTGACCAAAAGAACACTGACGAGAAAGAGGCACTTCATGTGATATTTTTGCAGGTTTTTGTTCGGCAAGGGCCTTCTGAGATGGGACCCTCTTGGTAGGAGCAGGAGGAGGAAGAACCTGCTGTTGTTGTGGTGGTGATGATGGCTCTTTTTTTGTGGGCAATAAAGGCTTAATCAAGGATGTAAGTATTTCAGGAGTGTGTCTCCTTTGAAGTGAAGATGACAAATAAGAGCTGCTTAATCTGCTTAAATTGGGAGTACCCAAGAACCCAATATTGGGAGATGCCACACTGCTATACATGTCGATGGATTGCCTGTATGGACCCAAAACACAAACAAAATTTGAATCATGAAAGAGGAATAAATTATAAATCATCTATTAAAAATTCACGCACACCATTTTTATCAGAAAGGTACATATTCAGCGCAGCATTTTTTTCCCTTTTTTTTTTTTGTAAAAGCCCCTTTGACTATCTTGATAGAAAAATCAAATTCTTTTAAATTTGGGTGTTTTCTTAAGGCGGTGAATCAATTCTCTAGTGGGATGGATGCGTTTTGGACTGAGCAAGGAGGTTGATATCAATTAGTTAGGTTAACTGAATCCAATTCTCAACATATGGAAAGAAAAATAAGAAATCTCCATAAAAACTCCAGATTGAAAGGAATTAAATTTAAATACATAGTTCAATACTTGAACAGTTTTCATGGCATATCTATATACTCAAGTTAATTTCCCAGAATATGCATCTGTCCATATATGAATACCTGTAACTCTGGGGCCAAGATGTATTATACGAGCTTGGGTGCTTGCTGTGGTTAGGGCTGCCATGAGAAAAAGAATCTGATGAATCTGTATCATAACCATCTCCCCTGACAACAAGCTTCTCAGTGTCATTTTCCTCATCATCGCTCTCAATGTACAAGCTCCTTTCAGAGCTGGACTTGTTCATCTTTTTTCCTGTAGTAAAATTATCCATAAAATTCAATTAAGAGGGACATTCAGAAAACAACGTAAATCCGTAACTTAATCCTAGTGCAATACTCATGAACAATATGATCGACTCCATTATTGAATGAGAAACGAGTTAACACGAATTTAAGGTCTGCGACAAACAATAAACCAGGGGTTGAGAGGAAGGGAAATAGTGACTTCACGCTTCTAGACTGAATTAGGACCTAGAACCATTAAAATCATGACTTGGACAATCGGTGACAGAGCAAAAAACACAAAAAACTAACTCCAGCTACTTTAATAATTAAGATCTATCCTGGAAACAAGAAACTGAAAGATATTATTTTCTGAGTTTAGCTCCTCCACAATGAGCATGAAGAACTCCTATGGAAAGGGAGAATAGATCCGATTTGCTCTGTATCCACAATCTTAGAGAGAACAAGATCCGGATTTACGAATTATTACAGATCATTCATCTCAATTTCGTATGTGTTTAGAAGGGAAACATAAATTACGTAGGAAGAAAATTAGTCGGCCTTTTATGGTGCATAAGTAAAAACAGAAAACAGTAGATTTAACTATTTTTACAGAAGCATGGAAACTCTAAAGAAAACTGGAAGTTCATATTTTAAAACTACTGAAATCTGAATACATGATTTGGACTGAAACTTAAATTCGGTTTGATTCTAAGCTCTTCAACAGGCGCACGGAAGGCTTAAAAATAAGGGAAAAGATAATATCAAGTGATTTAATCCGAAATCAAGCTCGAGTGAGTACAAACCAAGGCTCATTTGAAGTTCAAATTACTCCAAAATACTCCAGATTTAGTCTCTTGGACCAGTAAAATGAAGCTCAAAATGTCAATAAAAATTGCAAAGCTATTTAAAAAAAAGAAAACCGAAGTTTTTCCAGTTAATTTATCCGGAGTCTGAAATATTGTGAAGCTTCAGAAGAAACGCCATCAAAGATTCATAAAAGCTTGAAACAAACCAGATAAAGGATCAGAGTACAACGTGAAGCACAAATTATGCGCTGAATTGGATTAAACCTCCAAAAAAAGCTTATTAATATTCAGCAGCATCAAACTGTTTTTCCACAGAATTAATTTGAAGGCCTGAAATTTGCCGAAGCTTCTTAAGAAACACTACGACAAATGCAGAAAAGCTTGATATAAGCAGGAGAAAAACTGAGTTTTCAGGAGTCTTAGTGCTCTTTAGAATATTGGATTCTTCAGATTCCAATATTTTCAGGACTCTTAGTGCTCAGCAGCATAATCAAATGAATCTCCACAGCCTAAAGACGTGTCTCTACCTCTTTCGCAGGCCTTTCACTTTCTGATACACCTCAAAACTTTTCCCGAACCTATCAGAACTCAGAAGAGATTTTTCACCAGTACGAAGGCTTTTGAACGTGGAGCCAAAAGCTTTTTGCTCAGAATACCTTTTCAATGTTGCGATCTATGAAGATTTCTCTCTCTAAAATGGAGCAAAAGAGTTTATAGCCATTACAGAGCTCGAAGCCGAGCATATGCAGCCACTGACAAAAAGACAGTTATTTATTCTGTCTTCTGTGACTTCATGGACGTGATTAGTTTCATTCCATTTTTCTCTGGAGGCGACATGCCTTTCTCTCGCTAGAATTACACTCTCTCATCGCTCCCCCTGTCCACCATGGATTTTGTCAGTTTCTTGTTTAGGTAAGTCATTGAGGGAGAACGCCCCCAACGGGTTCTCCATTAATCCGTAAACGGTAAAATCATATTCCAACGACACTCTTTAATATTTTTTTCATCTCAATAATCAATCTCCAAAAAATTCAATTTGAGGTCTAAATGAAGTAAAAATGAGTTTCTTTCAAAAATAACTCTAAACCATTCATTTTATGAATTTCAAGACCTTAGCTTTTATAAACTCAAAATTATTTTTTCTTTTTTAATATTATTCATCTAATAATAATAAAGCCATCCAAAAAAATTAGAAGTGAAAAAATCCTTCGAAGGCCTAGATCTAAGCATCTCACCAAAATGAAGGACCTATATTAATTGGGTTAAAAAAATACTTTCTAAGTTGTGTTTTCGAATTTTTTTTTTTAATAATTGTTCATTAGAATAAAATATATATATAATTCAAAATTTGGATCAAACAAATGACCATAAAATGATTTTTTAAAGTTATTACATCATATTACTATACAACATATATATGAAATCATTACTCAATAGAGCACCCATGCCAAATCATGAGCTAAAGCTCTCTTTGCAAGACTAGAAAGCACTATGCTGGCTTCATGAAAGATATGGGAGATGGACTACCCATACTCAGAGAGACGTTGTTCATATGTAACTTCTATGGAGGTCAGCAGCGTTAATGAATAACATTAACGAGCAATGACTTTCGACCTGAATAGGGTAGCACTGTAGCTGATCAACTAAGATTAATAATTCTTTCAAAGAAAAAAATTCCACATAATTATTAGAAGCAATTCCAAAAGGTTTGATAAATACTGCAATAAAAGCACCATCCCCTATGTTCATCTTGAAATGATTAGGGTTCATGAATAATTGCTACTTGTTTTTTGTGGTTACTCAAAAAAGTCATTTAGGTGTGGAATGCAGCTTGTATAGAGTCGAGGCTCTAAGCGATCAAATAAGAGCTCACCTTCAAATAATGTCAAGAAATATGGTTTCAATATTGAAAATATTTGTGATAGCTTTACAATTTATCATCTTTAATTATAAAATTTAAAGCTCCAAAAATGGTGTAAATCCAACGAATATATGAAAACTTAAAAATCTTGAAAATTGACGGTCCAAAAATGCGCTACATGATACACTATTTCCAAAACTTAAAATCTATTTTTTTCTCAGGTTAATACATTTTTATATCGAGATGATTAATTAAAGGATATTTGAACATCAAAACAACCACTTTTAATACAAATTTTGAAGTAGGTTTTAATTTGATTGTTTAGAGCCTCGGTCCTGTATAAACTTTTTCAACTTGCTCTCTCTAGCCCAACCACTTCTCTCTGCCCCACGGGAAAATTGCGTAACGAAATGTATGCAGCCAGGCCATTATTTTCGATGCAAAGATGTCGCAATCATCATTGTCTATTAAAATTGAATATTGGATTTGAAATCCGGTGATCGATGAACAAAACTCTAAAATAAAGTTTTTTGGAATATTGTGACATACTTTATATTAGTTTTTTGGAATATTGTGACATACTTTATATTAGATGTCACTTGGATATTTGAAAATGTATTTTCAAAAAGAATTTTTTTTTCTTTTTGCTTTTTTTTTTTTTTTTTTTTTTTTTTAAGTTTGGATGAAAATTTTGAAACATAAAGTATTTCATTTGAAATTATTATTTTTGATTTCAAACTAAAAATAAAGAAATTTATATTATTGCCTTTACTCTCTAAAATTGATTTTTAACCAGATTTCCCTGCTACATACCACTTTATAACAATTATTTTTACCAAAATACCCCCACAAATTAGAAAGAGAAACTATATCATATTTTAAGTTTTAGAGATGAAGTATCTTAAAATTTTGGAGAGAAAACTATTTTAATGTTTAAGAGAAACCACCTAAAAAGTTTTAAAGCTAAATTATCTCAAAATTTTTATAATGAGAAATTATTTCAAATTAAATTTTAGAGAGAGAAAATATCTTAAAATAATACAGAGAGAAACTATTTCAAATTAATCTTTAAAAAGAGAAAATATCATAAAATTTTAGAGGTAGAAACTATATCAAATTTTAGGAAGTGAAGTATCTAAAAAGTTTTAAAGAGAAACCATCTCAAAATTTTTAGAGTGAGAAACTATATCAAACTTTAAGTTTTACAGAGAGAAAGTACTTGAAAATTTTTAGAGAGAGAAACTATCTCAAAATTTTTAGAAAAAGAAATTATCTCAAAAGTGAGAGAAACACTCGAGATATTTAGAGAGAAACTATTGTACCTGAAATTTCTTGGAGAGAAGAATTATATCAAATTTTAAGTTTTATGAAGAAAAGTGCTTGAAAATTTTTAGAGAGAAGCTATCTCAAGTTTTAAGTCTTAAAGGGAGAAAAAAGTATCTGAAATTTCGTAGAAAGAAGAATTATGTAAAATTTTAAGTTTTATGAAGAGAAAGTTCCTGAAAATTTTTAGAGAGAAACTATCTCAAGTTTTAAGTCTTAAAAATGATAAATTATGTCTAATTTTAAGTTTTAGAGAGAGAAAATATTAAAAAAAATTTAGAGAGAGAAACTATCTCTGAATTTTTAAAGAGAGAAACTATATCAAATTTTAAGTTTTAAAGAGATTAAGTAACCAAAAAATTCTTAGAGAGACAAACTATCTCAAAATTTTTAGAGAAAGAAAGTATCCCAATTTTAAGTTTAGAGAGACAAACTATCTCAAAATTTTTAGAGAAAAACTATTTCAATTTTTAAATTTTAGAGAAAAAGTACCTGAAAATATTTAGGGAGAGAAACTTTTTGAAAATATTTAGAAAGAGAAACTATTTCAAAATTTTTAAAGAGAAGTCATCTCAATTTTTAAGTTTTAGAGAGAGAAACTACCTCGAAATTTTTAGAGAACTATCTCTAAAGTTTTTGGGAGAGGACTATATCAAATTTTAAGTTTTTTTTAGAGAAAAAGTACCTTAAAATTTTAGAGAGAAACTATCTTATATTTTAAATTTTAGAGAGAGAAACTATCTCATATTTTAAATTTAAATAGAGATTGTATCTTAAAATTTTAGAGAGAGAAAGTATCTTAAAATTTCAGAGAGAGAATTTATATCAAATTTTAGATAGAAAAACTATCTCAAATTTGAAGTTTTAGAGAGAGAAAGTACTTGAAATTTTAAAGAGAACACTATTTTTAAATCTTTAGAGGAAATTTCAAATTTTAAGTTTTAGATAGACAAAATATCTTATATCATATTACATTTTAGAGAAAAAAACTACCCAAAAATTTATAGAAATAAATTATTTCAAAATTTTAAGAGAGGAAACTATCTTATATTTTAAGGTTTAGACAGAAAAGTATCTTTAAATTTTAGAAAGAAAAACTGTATCAAATTTTAGAGAGATAAAGTACCTAACTTCTTAGAGAGAAAAACTGTTTCAAATTTTAAGTTTTAGAGAGATTAACTAACTCAAATATTAAGTTTTAGATTGAGAAAATTTGTTAAAATTTTAGAGAGAGAAGCTATATCAAATTTTAAGGAAATAAACTACTTGAACCTTTTTAGAGAGAGAAATTATCTCAAAATACTATCTCAAATTTAATAAAAAATGATATTATAATTAAGGGATTGTCTACAAAGTAAACATTTTATCTTGTGCATCTGGAGGTCACAATCATTCTTGTCTTTTAAATTTCATAACGGGTGTGTGTAGTGTTATTGAATAAATACAAAATTCAAAAAAAAAAAAATCTCGAAATTCGTGACTCATCTCAAGCCATTCAATTTGACATTCATTGAGTGGAAATGATTGTGACCTCCATGTACAAAAGATAAATGGTCTGTTTGTAGAAAATCTCCACAATTGATAATACAATAAAAATCATTTAACAAAAAACATAAAAAAAAGCTATGAAAATATTATGCATTCATGTACCATCCAAAAAGCATAAATTTGTTTATATGAAATACTTTTCTCAATAAATACATTTCAAAAGAAATAGATTTTCTAAGTAATACTTTTCCATGGATCCAAACGACCCTTTGGATTTCACATCTAATGGTAAAAGTGATTGTGACCTTCGTATACTATAAATGAATGATTTTTTAGTTTACAATCTTTGAGCCAAATTCATAAGGGCAAGCTTTCTATGCTTCCCCTACAACATAGAAATTCTATCCTCTTTCTTGTCCAACCGTTCATTCTGAATGAGGGCAAAGATTGCCCCAATCACAATGCCACGTCTCTACACTATTTTATTTTTAATTTTTTTCTATAAACTATTTTGACACCAACTTTTGGACGTCTATTCCTCTATTAAACTCGCACTAGTAAAAAATATAAAAAAAATATTTTCAATAAATAAAATGACAAAAATACCCCTAAAATTTCAAGGGGTATTTTGATCATTATATTTTATCAAATTTTTTTTTTTAATATTTTAATAGGTGCACCCCAATGAGAAGATGACACGTACCAAATTTCATATACATACCATTTTTATAAAAAAAACTAAAAATAAAATACTTTGAGACGTCGGATCTAAAATCAAACAATGAGTGACTCTCTTGTTCAAAATACAGCTGGATGGTAGGGGGAGGATACAACTTCTATGCTATAGGCAAAGCATAAAAACCTTTCCCAATTCCTAATCCTATGCCATTAACACTTTTAAAATCCCATCACATACCCAATATTATCGTCTATTTAGGGATTATATACTTGTGGCCACAATTGCTTCTAGCTATTAGATGTCAATTTGATGGCTTGTGGTGTATCATATAGTTTGAAAAAAAAAATTGAACTTTTGAGTCTAATTAATTACACACTCACAACCACTTGATTAAAAATTTGACTGGTGAGAATGATTGTAGCCTCTTTCTATTAAAGGTAAATAATATTTTTGTATATATGTCCCATTGTTTTTCTTTATATCCACCCAACCAAGTAAAAAGGTAATATTTTTTAATGACAAAAATGGCCCCTCCAAACCCTAGGGTCTTGAATGTCCTCTCTCTTGAGGAAAAAAATCAAGTTGGTTCGACAA